ATGTGTTCATATCACAAAGAATACACATCTACTTAAATCAAATTCAAGTCAAAGGGTTAAAAAAATAATTTCACACACAAAAAAAGAGCTAGAAAATTCACCACACTGGGAAGGGTGAAGACAACTGGGTCGCCCGGCCCTGGCCACGAGGTGTCCCTTATTTATTTTTCAGGGAGTTGGCAACCCTATACAGAGCAGAAAGCAGAATATTCATGTTTTCTTTTTACAAGGATCGGATTAATTCATGAAGAATGAATTGAAAAACAGAAGGCACAGACAACACTAAAGCTTTAATAATCGGGTTATGTTCACACACACATAAGATTCACATTCCTCAGTGCATCACAGCACCAGGTTAAAATAGACTGTAGTAAAGTAAAATTATAATAATTCTGGTATTCTATGGCAAATGCCAGTCAGGCTCCATGGTGCCGGGCAGTGAGCACAGGGGTCAAACTCCAGCCCTCGAAACTTTTACCTGTTCCTGCTGCAACACACCTGAATAAAATTAGTAGGTCATTTGCAAGACTCTGTAGAACAGGGGTGGGAACTCCAGGCCCCGAGGACTGGTGTCCAGCAGGTTTTAGATAGACCACCTAAGTGATTAGTTCATTACTTCAAGACATGTTGAAATGGTCATTTAGCCCTTTAAATCAGCTGTGTTGGAAGAACAGGACATATCTAAAACCTGCAGGATACCGACCCTTGGGACCTGGAGTTGGACATACCTGCTATAGAACTTGCCTGCATGCTGAATGGCAGTTCAGTCATTTGATGCATGTCACAGCTTGTCATGGTGCAAAAGGACTACTTTTGACACCACTGCACTAGAGGATGTCGGGCCCTCAGACCACCCTCATGAAGTCTGGTCAGGAGAGACAGAGAGGGAACATCAAACACGAGAAACACAGGAGGCAGTAAAGATGGCAGACATGATGACATAAACCTAAAGATTACATAACAAACCTAAAAGCAGAAAATACAAACACTAAACGTAGAAGAAATACAGTCACGACAACCAGAAAGATCAACATACATAAGTCTGGGTCACAGAGATCCAACTGTGGGTTTCCTGTTTTATCTTCAAGGACACAACAATGACGATTCATGTTGATATTGATGAGACATCCTGTTAACAACTATGTTTATCAGTGTCTGCTGGCACTCACTTTTTAAATAAAGTTTAAATAAATCACCGCCCATGTGTTCCCGGTGAACAGTCACTAGAGGGCAGCAGAGCTCCCTCACACTCACCTGAGACTCAGAAACATGTCATCACTCAGGTATTTACCTGAACCACAGGTGTGATCAGTCCTGTGTGTTTACAGGGAGAAAACAAACCAGGTACCTTAAAAAAAAGTCCATATTTAACATCAGGGAAAGGGAAAGTCTGGAAAGGCCTTCAACTTTGGCTACCAAGGATCTTCCACTGATGGATAAATCCCTTTGAAGCCAAAGATTAAATCTTTGTTATATTGAAGTTATGAGGGACTAAATGTTCAGATAATCTAGCATCTTGGTCTTTTTGAATGATAATACCAAGATATTTAGCCTTATCTTTAACAGGAACACCTGATATAATAGTATCTGTGCAGCATTTAACTGTGAAAAGATCACATTTTGGAATGTTGCGTTGGAGACCAGAGGCTATTGAGAAATTTTTGATGACTTTGAGAGCTTCACCAATTTGAGATTTATCCTTTTAAAAAAGTATTGTGTCATCCGCTAGTTGAGTAATAGATAAAGTTCTGCCAGCAACATTACACTGCTGTTTTTAAAATGAATAGAAAGTCTGCATAGGAAGAAGGAAAAGATATGCCGAAATCGGACAACCTTGACGGATCCCACGGTTGATATCAAATCTCTTCGTTGTACCATACAGGAGTTTGATTGAGCTTTTTGCATCTGCATATAAAGTTTGAATGGATTTTTTAAACATATTTCCAAAACCAAAAATATCAAGTGCGCTGAACATGAATTCATGTTCAATGGAGTTGAAAACTTTATAAAAATCCAAAAAAAGAATGAAACTATTATCTGTGATTAAACCTGAATGACCAAAAATATTAATTATTATGTTGTTTGTTATGTGTCTGCCCAGTCATAAAACCAGAATGTGTTTCATCAATAATATCATTAAGTGCACATTTTAATTTTTTAGCCAGACATAGCAATTATTTTATGATCATTATTGAGCAGTGAAATAGGTCCAAATTTCTATCAAAAGGACGTCTTTTTGAGGCTTGGAAATCAAAGTAATTAGTCCCTGAATCAAGGAAGGAGGGACTTTTTCATTAGCAATGCTTTCAATATATACTTTATGTAAAAGCGTGAGAAGTCCTTTAAAAATAATTTGTAAAATTCACAAGTCCACCCGTCATTCCCTGGACTCTTATTAAGTTGCTGTGATGAGGGCATCAGACATAGTTTTATTATTGTCAATAATTGTTTTAATATTACCTAAGGAATCATAAAAAATGTTCATGACTTCTGTAGAAAAAATAGATTTATATAAAGTTTTATAAAAAAGTTCACAAGTCTTGGTAATCACTTGAGGGTCTTGTGTGATGACCCATCTGAACACAGTTTAGTCATGGTGCCAAGTGTGTTGTGATGTTTTTCTAATTTGAAAAAATAGCTGGAGTTTTTGTTCTCCCTCTTAGACCCATTTCCTTCTCACAAAGGTACCTTTTGCCTTTTAAATATATATATTTTCTAATTTAATGTAAAATTTGAAGTCTGTTCCTGTTATCTTCAGATAAATTATCAGGTGATCTTGACAAAGCCATAATTTCAGAAGTTATTTCCAACTCTTCTTTTTTTCTATTTTTAACTATTTCAGCTCCTCTTCTCATTAAGAGAGATGTCAATTCAAATTTCATGAACTCCCAATTTTTACTAAAAGCATTTTCAACACATGCCTTTTCCAATACTCATCTATTTTTGTTTTAATTTCCTTTACCAAAGAATCATTCAGTATAAGAGAATTATTTAACTCTCAATATGAATTCACTCTTTTAGACGGTAGTTTTATGATCTGTTAAGGGTGTTGGCAACATTTTTAATATAGAAACATATTTGGATAAAGGATCAGAAATTAACCAATAATCAATACGAGACTGTAAGAAACTTGATCTATTTTTTCATGAAAATTCCTTAATTGTTGGAGTTTTAAGTCTCCAGTTATCAATTAGGTCTCTTTCCTTTATAAAATCCATCATATAATTGCTACTTTCCTGACTTTTACTCGGCCATCTACCTATCATGGTATTGAGTGAATGATTCCAGTCCCCTCCTAATATAATCTTTAGATTAGCAAATTTACTCATTAAAGACTGATTTCTTTTCATTTACTATAAGTATTAGGTCAGTATTCTCCTGTTTGTTATTGTAGCCATAAATGTTTCCCAGTAAAAGGGTCTGATCATCAGCAAAATAAAATGTCCTCTTTCGGATCAGTTTCTGAAGATATATTTTTTCCTTAAACTTATGTTTCAGAATCAGTTCCCGCTGGATGGTTGGTGCCATGAGACATCCATAAATCTTCACCCCATTGGGATTTCCAGAAGTTAGCGTCCTTAGGTTCAGAATGGGATACTTGTATGAGACAAAAGTCAGCATTCAAACGTTTAGCATATAAAAACAGAGCCTTCCTTTTGGTATTGTCCCTTAGTCCTCGAGCATTTAAAGAATTAAAGGATAGAGATGAAACTTTGAAAAGTAAATTAACTTTTTACCCTGAGAAGAGTGTGTAAGCTTCAGAGAGAACAGAACTACTCTGTCTAAAAAAGTGCTTCAAAAACGTTTTTAGCAACAACAGCTTATTATAAGTCTTTAGAACAATAAGGAAAAGAGACCTTGAGGCACATCCGCAAACAGGACTGAAAGGGATTTCAGTGAATTTCTTTTCTGTTCACGAAAGCACGGGCTCCGACGAAGTAGACAATTTCCCCCTCCTTATGTGCTTTCTCCACCTGTGGCCATAAGTGGTTGCATCTCTCTCGGTTCTCAGGAGAGAGATCTTCTTCGAAATGGAGCTTCCTTGTCTTCAGGTAGTCAGATCCCTTCAACGCCTTTCAGGTGATGACTCGAAAGTGTCTCATGGTAAATTGCAAGATTATGGCACTGGGCAATGGCACAGAAGAGGACTCACGTTGTTGTCCGATCCTGTGGACTGAATCAAGTACCTCCGGGAACTTTAAGCAGAAGTCAGCCTGTTTAAGGCTCTGATGTCTATTCTGTATGACTTAAAGCAGTTATGACATGGTCTGATTTTCTCACCCAATAAAGGAATATTTCATATATCAGTCTACTCTTCATTCTATCAGACACAGTTATCACAGCTCGTACATTTTCTTTTTACACATAAAATGGTAAATGGCCTGCATTTGTATAGCGCTTTTCTAGTCCCTAAGGACCCCAAAGCGCTTCACACTACATTCAGTCATTCACCCATTCACACACACATTCACACACTGGCGATGGCAGCTACATTGTAGCCACAGCTGCCCTGGGGCGCACTGACAGAGGCATACACATGTATGTAAGCATTGAGCCAAATTTAGTAATGCCAACATATTAAAAGAACAATATTTGTCTCTCATATATAATACATCTATATATACACTGTCACAGATACTGGTCTTTGAGTGAAGGTATAAGGTGATAGGAAATATAAATAACTTCCAATTTTACAAGCCTCGCACTTCTGGCCTTAGCGGTCTTTGAGTACGCGGCCCTTGTGGACTGTTAAGGCTGCGTACTCTAAGGCTGCAGACCCTGAACTGAGATATAGCCAGTGTTCCTGCAGCTTCCTGAGTCAGGGTCAATAATCATGATGTTCAGCCTGAACAGATCTGCAGCTGAAAAAAACCTTCCCTGTTTTACAGTTTCGATGGAAACTGAGCAGCTTATCCCGCACACATTTAAACAAGTTTTCTGCACTGTCACAGTAAAATAATTGCTACTGATAATATCAATAAAGATGAGGTAGAGCCAGGTGGAGGCGTAGAAAGTTTTATTAAACGTGTAAAATCAACTGTTAAAAAGTTTTTAAATAAAGCAGAAAAAGAAGGAAACTCATCATTAATCATTATCATATCAACATTTACACTATAAAGATTATGAGGCTTTTATTTTGTTAACAGTGACTCAGGCAGTGATGTCACATGTGACATCACATGGTGGCGGCGGCGTCCTCACAGCGTGGTGAACTGGCTCAGAGCTTCTCTCAGCTTATCTGCGATCTGACCAATCAGAGAGCAGATAGGAGACGACATCACAGACCTAAACACGCAACCAGACTCCGCCCACCCCGCCTCCCGCCTGGCGCTCACCTGCTGGTAGAAGGTGACCTGCTGCTCCAGGTAAAGCTGCATCACTCGGTTGTAGTCGTAGATACGGTTGCTATGGAAATGGTTCATCTCAGCTGGAGGAGAGCAGACAGCGGCGAGTTACCCTTGGACATTTTTTTATTTATTACACATACAAACATTAACTTTATACTATTGTGGTATCATTTTATTTACTTTATTATTTAGTTCTTAGATCAGTCGTTCTTGGATTTTTATTTTGGTGGAATTGACATGAACCCAACATTATCATCTCTTCATACACATGTGGTATGTAGGTGGTGGCTGCAGCTCAGGTGGCACAGCAGGTCAGCCACTAATCAGAAGGTCGGTGGTTCGATCCCAGGCTGCCTCCTGGCTGCATGTCAAATATCCTTGGGCAAGATACTAACCCTATGTTTGCCTACTGCTGGTGGTCAGAGGGCCCGGTAGCGCCTGTGTCCGGCAGCCTCGCCTCTGTCAGTGCGCCCCAGGGTGGCTGTGGCTACAATGTAGCTTGCCATCACCTGTGTGTGGATAGGTGGATGACTGAATGTAGTGTAAAGCGCTTTGGGGTCCTTAGGGACTGAATAAAGCACTATACAAATGACATTTACCTTTTTTTTTTTTTTTTTTTTTACATGTGAAACAGAAACAGCTGAAACTATGGCCGGTGATGAGGTAACGCGATGACATCATGAAAAGGCAGCAGGTGACTAAAGCTGAGTGTCTGACGAGACGAGCTGAGCAGGAAACACCCTCACAGGGTTTGTACATGTGACCGTCTACTCTGCTGTCAGACAGAGCAAGACAGTTTTATTTTGAAGGGTTGCATGAAGTCCCTGAATGATCCTGTGATGCTAAAGGTCAGCTGTGTGTCTCTGTCTCCTGAGTGACCGCGGCCCCTTCTCCTTCTTCTGAAGCTCCTCCAGATGTGATGTGTCCTGATGGGGATCTTGGTCTTCGGCTCAGGCCAAAGATTAAAGTTGGGGCTCTGAGTGGGTGGTGGTAACGCCCATTCTGGTCTCCTGCAGCATGTTCCTCAGCAGGATCGTCGTGGTTCTCTCTGAGTTTCTCCTCACTCCTGTTGTCCACACTTGGAGACACTGTGATAACTTTCACTCTTCTCCTCAGGTCTGAAGTGATTTATAAAGTGTCTTTGGATTTGGGACGCTGCTTTCTCAGATCAAACCCTCACAGATGTGTTTATACCAACTGTAAACTGGAGAAATTCCTTGGTTTGGTCTTAATTTAACATCTTTGAGTGTTACAGAGTGAACACAGGTCATTGCACAGCAGGTCCAAGCTGTGAGTCAATGACAAGCTCAGTTCTTCAGGAGGACAAACTGACTGTGGTCATGTTTGTCTCTCTGAAATTATTCTGTCATTGTTTGTAAACAGATTTATGCTTTTTAAATAAAACAATCATGTTCAGAAACACTGCGCAGAAAATCCATCGCTCTGCTAAAAGCATGACAGCTTTAAATTTCACCAGGGGCTGATAACTTTATCAAAGAGATTACTTTGACCTTTGGGTTTGCTGGGATTTTTGGGTGGTGTGTGTCTGTGTGTGCTGTTACCCTGCAGGGCGTAGCTCATGCAGCTGAGCCGCTGGTTCATGCACTTCCTGTCGCTGTTGTTCATTTTTCCTGCAGAAACCAAACGATCACCTTCCTTCACTTTATCTGCAGCAGCCTGAAACACAAACACACACACACACACAGGTGAGACCACGCCCTCCTCAGCACATCTGGAGCCCCTCCCATTCCCCAATTAATGTTGCTCTGACAGCGATTGAATAAAAACCTCCAAAATAAAAGCCTCAGTTTCCAGCTTCAGTCTGTTTTATTGTCTCATGTTTTCAGACATTCTCTGTGTGCACCTGCAGTTATGTGTAGCAGTACTGTGTGTAGTATAGTCACTACACACAGTAGTTCTGCTGTACCTTGTGTACAGCGATGATGTCTGGAAAACATGCCAGCAACCCTTTGTACTCGCTGTTAGTCTCCAACAGGAAGTGGAGGTCCTTCTGAGGCTGGAAACATCAACACAACAAAGAATGCAGTAAGAGAATAAACAAATATTATTGTAAGACTGAGAAAACACAGTATACTGTGTATTTATACATAGGTGTGTGTGTTTTTACCTGCTGGGCGACGACCTCAGCAATCTCCTCGTAGGTTTTTCCAGCAGCCGTCAGAGCGTCGGTCAACGTCGCCTCGCCTGCATCGCAGACACTTAAAAGTCTGTACTTATACCACATAATAGATGTTTACTGGATATTTACGTATTTCACAATGGAAACCAGCTTTAAGGAAAATGGTTCAGAAAGAACACACTGAGCTCAGAGTCCCTGAATGCACCGCGGGAGAGCTTCAAGTCCTCCGAGAATGTAAACAAAACCGTTGGTTAGTCAATAAAGTTGTTCCTGTTTAAGTGTTGCTGGAGTCCCTGCATTGTGATTATCTTTCCATCCTTCCTCCCTCCTTCCATCCACCCTCCCTCCTTCCATCCACCCTCCTTCCATCCTCCCTCTCTTCCTCCCTCCTTTCTTCTATACTTCCATCCTCCCTCTTTCTATCTTTCCATCCTTCCTCAGTCCTTCCACCCTCCCTCCTTCTTTCCTACCTACTTCTATCCTTCCATCCTCCTTCCTTTCATCCTTCCTCTCTTCCTCCCTCCTTTCTTCTATACTTCCATCCTCCCTCTTTCTATCTTTCTATCCTTCCTCAGTCCTTCCACCGTCAATCCTTCATTCCTACCTACTTCTATCCTTCCATCCTCCTTCCTTTCATCCTTCCTCACTCGTTCCTTCCTCCATCCTTCCACTCTTCTTCCTATCCCTCTATCCTCCCTCCTTCCATCATTCCCTCCTTCCTTCCTCCCTCCCTCCTTTCATCCTCCTTCCATCCTCCCCTCCTGCCTCCTTCCATCCTCCCTCCTTCTATCCTACCCTCCTCCCTCCTCCCTCCTTCTATCCTACCCTCCTCCCTCCTTCCATCCTACCCTCCTTCTATCCTACCCTCCTCCCTCCTTCTATCCTACCCTCCTCCCTCCTTCCATCCTACCCTCCTCCCTCCTTCCATCCTACCCTCCTCCCTCCTTCCATCCTTCTATCTTCCATCCTCCCTCCTCCACCCTCCACCCCCACACTCCTCCCTCGCTCACCTGGATATTTGCTGGTGATGAATACAGTTGACAGGTTTCTGAAGGCTTGGCCGATGCGCTCATACTCTTTAGGAAGCGCTGGTTAAAAACAGATGAACACATTACCACCCAATCACAGCTGTAAGTATTCTGTGTACATGTACACGGAATAACTTTAAATGTATGCACTGACGTCCGGTGCAGCGTTTCCAGTGCGCGTGCCCGACGTTCAGCAGCTCTCTGATGCCGTCATCCATGGACTTTGTAAAGCGGCTGTAGTGTTCACACCTCTGTTCACTGCACACACACTCAGAGGTCACACAAAGGTAAAAAGCCACAGGTAAAAACATGTGAAACTGAGCTGCTGTTTGATGGAAGAACAGTGAAAGTACATTTATAATAAGGAACAGTAATGGGCCCAGTACACCGCCCTGTGGACTCCCAGTGAGCTACAGCTAAAAAGGGATTGACGCCTGATGACTGGTCATGTGACATTTGACAGACACAAGTTAGACAACCCTAATGAGCGAACCAATCAGAGGTAGCCTGACAGACCAAACCCAGGGTATAGGCCTTTACAAGCAGACTGAGTGACTTACACCTGGATGACATCGAGCTCTGCAGCTTCAGGTTCAACCAAACTGAACATCATTGGACCCACCGTCTCGTCTTTCTCTGCCTTCCTCTTCCCCGCCTTCCACTCCTGAAACAACAACAAACAGCCTTAGCCAATCAGCAAGCAGCATCAGATATCATCACACCTGACTGGCTCAAACATAATCTCCATAAAAGACCATACAAACATTTATAACCTATGGGTGGGGTCTGTTCTGTACCTGAAGCCTTCTGGTTTGTTTGTAGTCTTTCATTTGTTTGTGAGTAAACAAAAAGTACATCCCAGAGGCTTAGACAGCAGGTTCTCAGGTTTTCATTCATTCATTCATTTATTTATTCATTTTCAGGCACAACAAATACCTATATTGAACATAAAATACACAAACAAAAAACAAAAATTGCCTGAAAAAGGAGTGGGACGAAGAAAACTTATTAAATCCCACCCCTATACTCACTCATCAACAAAAAAAACAATAAACTTCCCGCAGCTACGCCCATCATTGCATACAGACCCATCAACAGCTCTAAGCGGCAGCTCGCAACCAACAATTAGAGCCTTCATAACTGAATACAGAATATATAAATTATAAATTGCATTACCACAGGTAACAGGTAGTAATAACTACAAGTAACAAACACACACACACAAACACACATACATATACATACATATATATCTACACACACAAGTACATATATGTACATACATACGCACACTTTATTTATTTATTTTATTTTTTTATTTTGGAATCCATACCAGCAATGGTAAGAGGACAGACATTACAGAGCACACTAAAACCCATCATTGAGTACCTGAAAGATGTAAAGCAGGAGGTGGAGCTTCACCTACCTTCTCATCTCTGTGGGTGAGGAAGAGCTGAAAGACTTCACTCTGAGAGACGATGGGGTGCCGACACATCCGAGTCATCCAGGCCTGCAGACCCTCCATCCTCATCCTAATGAAGTCATCATCAAACCTGCCTACAAGCACGGGTGAGACTGGTAAGGTCAAAGGTGTTTGCTGGGTCATACAGGGTAGCTATGGCGATGGCTCACCTGTCACCTGTTTGTCAGGCAGTGAGGGGATGGGCAGTATGGACCCAAACTTCTCCAGCAGACGCTCATACAGCCAATCAAAGTGCTTGTAGCGATGATTGACAGGGCTGTTGGTTGTCTGGAGGAAGAGGGAGAAGTCAGAGATTGATACCCAGTGATACTGCAAGTACTACTAAGTACTACAGAGTAAGTAAAGTAAGTAAGTAAAATTTTATTTATATAGCACCTTTCAAGATAAAAATCACAAAGTGCTTCACAGAAGCTAAAACCTAAAAATAAAAATCAACCAAAAGCAAGTTTTAAAAAAAAGTGCTACTAAGCTCACATTGGGTGTTATCTGGTACTCGATGAAGCTCTTCAGTCCGTACATTTTGGACTCTTTCTTTGGATCAGCAATCACACAGTCCAGAGGAGACGTCGGGTACAGCCAGACGGGACCTACTTCTCCATCTGATCGGACGAGGACCAAGAGCCAATCAGAGCAATCAACACCACACATCATTAACCAAGAGAAAAATGTTGGACTCACGTAGACAGGAAGCCTCTCTCTGCTGTCAGCCGGAGGTCGGGCTAACATAAAGACTTCTGGACTCGGACCTTTGGAGAACGAGAACCTAAAGACAAGAAGGCATCACTGTCTTCTACTCGTTTCTACTGATTTCTACTGACATCTACCGAATTATACTGACATCTACTCATTTCTACTGATTTCTACTGACATCTACCGAATTATACTGACATCTACTCATTTCTACTGATTTCTACTGACATCTACCAAATTCTGCCAACTTCCACTGACATCTGCTTCCATTAATTTTTAATAATATCTAACAACTACCAACATTCACTCCCTTCCACTGAAATCTACTAGGGTTTACCATCACTACTGACATTTACTGACATCTACTGAACTCAACTGATGTTTAGTAAGCTCTACTGTCTTCTACAGGAATCTACCAACTGCTAACCACTGTGACTGACATCTAATGACTCCTACCAGTGTTTACTTTGCTCTATGGACCGACATCTACTGGACTCTACTTTTAGCTCTACTGTGAGTCGTCTGTTATATTTGCATATTTCAGAAACATATGTACTTATTGAGGGAGATCTTAACACTGGGTCCATGGGCGCTTCGTCCTGAGGCTCCGGCCTCCCCTTCCGGTTGGTTGTTGTCATGGTAACTGCTCACCGACTGGTCATCCCATTCGTCGTCCCACTCGCCGTCATCATCCTGAACAGCTGATAGGGACACTGCTCGACATTCCTGATGTAAAACCTTTTTCCTCACAGTAACACACTATACTTGAAAATGAGCTGAAACAAGCGTATGTTACCGTGCTGTGTGGGATTGTATCCTCGACTGTCCCATCCCTGTGTGTGACTGACAAAAGCCCCGCCCCCCGAGCTCAGGTCGCCGCCTCCTCCAACACCACCAGTGTTTCTGATCTGAAACATGACAACATCTTTAACAAACAGATGTTCCTGCAGACGATACAGACTTTACTGTAGCCATCAGAGCAGGGTGCTACCAATATGGTCGCAAATGCAACCAAATTTTTCAATTGTGCGACTAAAAAAAATCTTGGGTCACACCAGTTTGACCAACTGTTCGAGTACGAACAAAAAAAAGCCTCGGCAACTCTGAAGATCTCCGTGTGGTCAACAACAGACACGCATTATCCCCTATCGTGGTCTGAACCAATCAGAGATAGTCAGGGGTTTGAAAGTGCAGACGGACAGAGAGGTGAGTAGCTTGAATAAAGCGGTATCGATTAATTAAATCCTGATTGAAATATAAATGTATTCTGGAGCTGAAAGCCGACAGCTCACTGACTCTGATGTGTCGGCGGGTCCGTGCTTTGTGTTTACATCTTTTTTGAGCTAGATTCTGAGGTGCAGGTTTTGTCTCTCTCTAACCAAAATTCGCTGAACCAGCAGCAAAAGAAGATCCAAACTATGCTTCACATTTGATAAATGTCATCATTAATCCCTCTTACGTTTGCTGTTTTGCTTCCACCACGATAAAGTCACACTTCATGCACAGCTCTCTCTCTCTGTCTGTACTTTAAGTACAGTTTCCCATCTAAAAGTCTCTCCTTTCTGCATTATTCATTCACTTATTGCCCACCAGTCTACCGTTGTTTACAGCGCTGTCGGCCATCTTTTTTTTTTTTTTTTTAACTTAAATGACCTTGGACAAGAAAGCTTAATTTCTGCTGTTCAATACTGATCTTAGAAATATGGTATCTAACCAGATTCTTACTATCTTAATGACCTTGTAGTACCATATCACCCTATTAGAGCACTTCGCTCTTGCTCTGCAGGCCTACTTGTTGTTCCTAGAGTATTTAAAAGTAGAATGGAGGCAGAGCCTTCAGTTTTCAGGCCCCTCTTCTGTGGAACCAGCTTCCAGTTTGGATTCAGGAGACAGACACTGTCTCTACTTTTAAGATTAGGCTTCAAACTTTCCTTTTTGCTAAAGCATATAGTTAGGGCTGGACCAGGTGACCCTGGATCCTCCCTTAGTTATGCTGCAATAGATGTAGGCTGCCGGGGATTCCATGATGCATTGAGTTTTTCCTTTCAAGTCACCTTTCTCACTCACTATGTATTAACAGACCTCTCTGCACTGAATCATATCTGTTATTAACCTCTGTCTCTCTTCCACAGCATGTCTTTATCCTGTCTTCCTTCTCTCACCCCAACTCGTCGCAGCAGATGGCCCCGCCCCTCCCTGAGCCTTGTTCTGCCGGAGGTTTCTTCCTGTTAAAAGGGAGTTTTTCCTTCCCACTGTCGCCAAAGTGCTTGCTCATATGATTGTTGGGTTTTTCTCTGTATCTATAATTGTACGATCTACTGTACAATATAAAGCGCCTTGAGGCGACTGTTGTTGTGATTTGGTGCTATATAAATAAAACTGAATTGAATTGAATAAGAAAAGATGAAAAGAACTATTGATACATGTTTTGTTAAGGCCTGATCCGTCTGAAATTCATAGCCAGTGCTCTGAAATGGAGCCATCAATCTTTGAACGCTGAAAAAGCACACAGTGTATCCAGAAAACACATTATATGCTGCAATAAATGCACTGCCCAAGTGTCCCCTCTCCCCACTGCCTTTCAGCAGCAGGCAGCAGCAAACAGTCGTCAGAGGAGCCGATGTGATGATTAGGTTTAACATTGCCTACAATATTACCAAAGAGTGCCGAAGCACTTCAAGCACAAGCACTTTTTCACTAACTTATCTTCTGGTAGAACTGTGCTCCAAATAAAGAACTTTGTGTGACAAGATTGTTAGTTAATCGTTTACAAATCAATATTGTCTGTATGGATGGCAATTTCCCCCCCAAAAAGTGCAAATGTGAAAATGCGGTGTTGAGCGTTGTGGTTGAAAATCTGGGTGCGCCTAAATTTTGTGCTGGTGCGCCTAAAAAAAAAAGGCGCACCAGTGTAACCGTGGCAAAAAGTTAGTCTAGAGCGCTGCAGAGGTTACACTGTGTGGTCCAGTGGTCTCCATGGTGGGTTTATCACTCTGTGCTGTGATTTTCAGTATCTCTGTGAAGTGTTTGTGCCTTTGTGAACTTGAAATCAAATAAAGAGAAATATCCTCGTTTTAGTCTCTGTCGGTTTGGTAAAATAAATGATTGCAGTTTGCCCAATGAAGCCCTGATGGACGTATTTATTGATGTTGGACGTCTATCAGCCTGTGAGTCAGCTGCTTGTTTTCCACTGAAATACTGATTTTCTGGCCTCTGTTCTGGAATCTCACTGAAACTGAGCTGAATTCAAACAAGCAGTCAAATAATAATAAAACTAAACTCAAAGGTAAGTGTTGGACAGAGTGTGTGACACTGATGAAGGTGAAATTCGCTGATCTGTGCCTCTTTGTGTTGACACGACATGAAATAATGTCACAGCGCTCACCTGTAAATATCCTCAGGTACAAGGCCGGTTTGTCCGCTGGAGTTCTGGGCCTGGATCCAGCCTCCACCCACAGTCTGAAGAACAGGGACACGTGAGGGGGTGGAGCCGTGTTTCCTTTGCAGTGTGTGCAGTGTAAACACCTGTGTTTACCTGGTCTGTCACAGTGATGGTCTCCCCTCTCTCACCGACAGCTCGTTGTTTCCTGGCTCCGCTGTGAAGTCGTACAGAACCAGAGCCTGGAGAGCGCACACACACATGCACACACACGCACACACACAAAACACACACGCACAAACACACATGCACACAAGCATGCACACAAGCATGCACACACACACACACACACAACACACGCACGCGTGCGCGCACACACACACGCACACACACGCACAGAGCTCAACTGGTACAAACTAAAGTTTAGGGCAGTCAGAGGAACCAGCTCTGGTTTGGGCTCAGAGGAAACGTCTGGATGTCAGTGAAAACTACAAACTCTCGAACCTGACTTCCTGTTGGACCACAGTACTTCCTGACATCCACATATCAGGAATTCCAGGCTTTCTGGGTTTTTTCTTTCCAGAGAAGCTCACACAGAGACATTTCCATGTGCAGCGATGAAACGTCGTCTCCTGCCTCCACACGTTTATTCATGAACACAAATATGATTTCTGCTTGTCGCATTGACAAACACGTCTGCAGAGCCGAACAGTCACAAAATAATTTGAAGTTATATTTGAGTTCAGGACTAACGCTGATGCAGGAGCGCTACGTCGTTGCAAGTCAGTCATATAAAAGTTTACTCTGTGGAGACTGTCACAAACTCTCTCACTGATTAGAGTAATTGTGATTGTATATATTACAACTTCTTTCTACTTACAGTAGAAATGATCATGTGAGTTTTCCATTGCCACGCCCCCACCTGAGGACAACGACGGTCCCCATCACCTCAGGTCTGTTTCACTCCAACACACCATCACTTCCTGCAGCACCACCCACGCCCACAGCTCAGTCTCTGCCCCAAGCGTGATGGTGGAGGCTGCAGACCTGTCACCACGTCTCCCTCATTGTTAAACTGTTACCATGGTTTCATCCCTCGCATCATGATCCCCGATCAGGACGCCGTCCTTCAGTGAAACCATCAGAGTAAACATGAGATGTCTGATTGATTTATTCATCCAGGCTCTCATTCCCACCACACCAGCAAAGGTGCAACAGCACAACAGGTAACGAGACATCAAGTACAAACAAGTACAGATGTGTCAATTTGATTATTCCTGGAAACACCAGCAGCACATTTGAAATCCTGATTTTGTCCGATTCCCAGGGCGATCATTTGGATGATGCTGTGAATGCGAAGGCCGTGTTGGTTGTTACACATATAAACACGAAGGTAAGAGGAAAGCAGGCCAAGCAGGGCTTCATAGACAAGTACCAGCCAATGGGAACATCCGCAGCAACACGCAGAGAACAGTGAGCCACGTGATTTCCACAGCCAGTAATAAACCTGAAGCGTGGACAACATCCAGGTGTTTTGGGTGATGGGCAGGTACTTCATATCATGAAGCGCTTAGAGTCAAGTTTAAAAACAATCTGAGGTCTTTATGAGCTTCAGCTCTCCGTCTGCAGCACAGCTGATATCTCACACCCAGGCATCCAGCGTTATTTAAATAAATCAATAAGCGATGAGTTCTCTGACTGTCAGACAGTAGCGGTTTTAGATACGGGCGACACGGGCGGTTGCCGGACGGCATCACGGGCATCAGCAAAAAATAAAAAATAAAAAAATTGCTCGTACTCGTGCTGCCCCGACATCAGCTAGCGCATATTGGGAATGGTACAGGGACCGATCGGTTTTCTATCGCCCATTTGCTGGGAGTAAGGGCGCCCTCCGTTAGCGAGGTGCGCCTGCTGCTTGCGGCGCAGAGAGGAGAGGGCGGCGCGACGCAGCGGGGATTCACTGGCTGGCTGGAGCAGCATCTAATAACCAACTCGCAATAAAACAAAATAAAAACAAACAACAAACACAAAAACACCAGACATCATGATGCAGACTTATCATTTGCACCGATGTTTTTTCAAAATTCTATACGTGAAAAGTGAGAGAGCCCTCGGTGCGTCTGCTCGCTGCTGAAGTCAAAGTAAACTTTATTGTCATCTCCGCTACATACAGTCCAGTATATAGAGAGACGAGACGACGAGGCTCCAGTTACAGCAGTGCAAGTAAACACAATAAATATAAGAAGAGTAAGACAATAAATATACACTTTAGGACTCGGGGTAAAGGGATCAATAACAATTTAAAATTTATAATTTACAGTTTGATGATTTAAAGTCTCACACACAACCCGTCGAAAAGGGAGGAAGACCTGCTACTTCCAAATAGAGCACATTTCATTCATAATGTTGTAAATTATGTATTCATGATTTGAATCCTGGATTGTGCGAAATCTCAGAAATAAACCTTAGACAAAGTGAATCTGTGAACTAAGGTGTAGGTCTGTTAGATCATGTTGTGGTGATCCTCGATATGGGGGATTTGTGTTCATACCGGAGTGCAAAATTAAAACCAATGTAAGGTGGACAAGAAAAGTTCAAAGCCATCAGGAGCTCAGTTTAGAAAAAATAAAAAAGAAGAGGAGGAGAAACGAGCAACAGATGCAGGTAAGCAGATGTGTGATTGGATAATGGCAGGTCATCCTGAAACAATCAGAATCAGA